TGGGTTGTAGGGGAAAATAAAGCCTTCTCTACTCTTGATTGGAGGACAAACTGGTACCACCACTGTTGAAATCAGTGTGGTATATCCTCAAAACAGTGGGACTATAGGTTCCACTTGACCCTACTAGTCCCCCCATCTTGGTGTCTTCATGAAAGAACTGAAAGCATCATACCATAGTGATATATGTGGACCTATGTTGATAACAGCACGGTTTGTAATTGTTAACACTTGAAAAACATCCAATGTCCATAAACCAAGGAATGGATTAAAAATGTGGTTTTCTCTACAATGGGGTAATACTCATCCATAAAACTCTCCCCACTAATTTCCATACTGGTTGCACCTGGCCGCATTCCTTTTTCCCTACAACCCTGCCAGAATTTGTTATTGGTTGATTCACTAATAATAGCCATTCTTTGTAGAGACATTTATATCTAAATAGGTAGCCCTTGAGACCATGCTCTTTAAGTGAAATAAATAGTCACACATGTATAACTACTGCATTGTCTCTTTGATGTGAGGACACTGAAAGTGTAGATAAGAAATAAATGTATAACAGATATTTCAAAATAGGAAGTAACTGTTCAAGTGGAAAGGAAAATTTGGTGGGATGAAAAGAAAAAGAGAGGCAAGGGATAAAACGGAAACAAAGCTTTGTAACTGAAGAGTGGAGGAGGGGTTGAACATATGGGAAGGGAATGAGGAAAACAGAAGAGCTAAGATATATTATATACAGATATAAATTCCCTATAATGAATATGATCATTATTTGTATCTAAATTGTACCAATAAACTTATTTATTTTTTAATTAATAACAAATGCTGGCAAGGCTACATGGGAAATAGGAACACTTCTACATCATTGGCAGGAAAGTAAACTAGTATAACCATTATGAAAATCAGTATGGAGATTCATCAAAGAACTAAAAGAAGTTCCAGTCAACCCAGATATTCCTCTACCAGGTTGTCTTTTGGAAAGAGTTAGAGATATAATATTACAGTGATATTCATGCTTATAGCAGCACAATTCATAATAGCTAAGTATTGGAAGTAGCCTATATGTCTATCGCCAGATGAATAGATAAAGAGAATGTGATATTTAAACACACTGGAGCACCACTTTGCCATAAAGAAGGGTAAAACTTGAGTCCTTTGTTAAAAAGAAAATTAATGCTCCTTGAAAGCATAATGTTAAGTGAAATAAGTCAGACCCACAAGCTTAAAAACCGCATGGTTTTTCTTCTATAAGGAACCCAGAGTATATAAATCAAAGAGCCAAATAAAAGATAGATATTGAGAAACAGGGAGATGGACCTTTTACAAATGGGAGAGGGACCAAGAGACAGGGGCAGCAAGGGAGCCATAGGGGAAGGGGACATAAAAAGAAGTTTTGTCACATGCAGGAATGGACTCCCCACAGTGAATGTAATCATGACACATCACAAACACATACTAATGTGAATTTTAAAAATGGACCCACAAATGCAGCCACTCTGTCCTTACATGGTGTCTACTGTAATGCACTCTTCTTGTAGGAATCTTGTTGTTCGCCAATCTTTTCATCTTCCTTTCCCTTTCTTTCTCTTTCTCTTTCCTCCCCAGGCCCATGCTGCTGCTGAACACATGACCCTGAAATAGTGTTGAGACCTGACCAATGTACAGCCCCCCTCAAAACCCCTTCTAAGCTCTCCAAGAAACTCCTGCCCTCTATGAAAAGCCCAACACATATGTGGGGGCTTAGAAATCTTAAGAAATCACTCAAGTAACACCTCGGTCATGGAGCTGGCCATCCCCCAACCTACCTTAGTCCTCCACTTCTTTGTGTGAAATGTCACAACACCCAAAGAAAGTGACTCTGTGACAGAGATGTGAGGGGTCAGGAGAGCCAGACTAGGTGAGCAGAGACAGGCCCTTCCTTTTTAAGAAGAAACATCTGCCTTGAGTAGGTAAAAGTCTGAAAAGCCCAGGGAAGAAAGTATTTCCTGTAAGCCAGTTCCCAGTGATACATTTCTGGATTTAGAAAATGTTCATGTTGATAAGACTCCAAGCTGTGTGGAGAGTTAAAGGGCTCTTCTTTCAACTTCCATTAAAAAGTGGAAAAATAACTGTTAAAAAATAGGTGTGCTATGAAAAGTACTAAGACAGAAAAAGAATGTCAAGGAAATAAATTATGGGTATTTTTGTTTTTAAAAAGTTCTTGAATATTGTTTCTACTTTATTTTGTCAATAACTACAATATATTGCAAAGAATATGTTTGTACTGGATTTATGGAGAAATGCAGGACCCTGAAGATTGCTAGTAGGTAATGTGGTACCCATACAAGCAGAAAGACTTTCTGTATCTCATGACAACTGGGTCACTCCCAGGAAAGCTGACCCCAGTGCCATTCATTAGAACTAGACGAGGGAAAGCCATCCCACTGGAAAAGACCTGCAAGACACAGGGAAAGACTACAGAACTTGATACCCCAAAGGAGTGGTTGTGCTCTGCCCACCAGTGAACACAGGGAGGCATAGTTGCAACACAACACAACACAAAATGTAAACGAATGACATTTCCAGAAAGGGGCCAAAATCAAAGTCTAAAACGACTTTGTGCTTAGGGTCTTATACTTGAAGATAAGCTATTACTGTTGGGGAAAGCAAATTTCAGGGGTGGGGAGTGGATTTGACTTGAGCTTGAGGTGAACTTGTAATGAAAAGGAAATCCTATATGGGCCTCCAGAAGTTATAAATTTTTCCATATAACCTCCTTGTGATTTAGGAAATCACATGTTTCCTTGATTCAGGAGTAAGTAAAGTTTTCTTCCCTTCTATGTTTGCTGTTGATGAAAGAGCATTGTGGGGCCACTTCAGAAGTTTCTGAGTGAGATGCAAGAGTCTCAGACCTGGACCGCTAGGTCTGAGTTAATGGCTACAAGTAGGAAGCCTCCTTCACTGGTAACATAGAAGCCATATCACATTAGAACCCACAACTTGACAGAATGTTCACTGGACCAGAGTCTACTAGAGATGGTCAGCTGCCTCAGGCACCAAGAACAGTGGCATTCTAAGAGCAGTGCTCCCAGGAGAGGGAGGGTCCCTTGCAAAGTACATTAGCAGCATCAATATTCACAACTCACCATTGTCTTTTTCACATATACTTCTTGACCTCGGGACAATCCAAAATCTGCTATTTTGGCTAGATAGTTCTCACCAACTAAAATATTTCTGGCAGCCAGGTCCCTGTGGATAAACTGAAAATTCAAAACAATAATTTATTTTCAGCAAAAATATTTGCATTTTTGCTTCATTTTGCTAGCACAAAGCCCTGAGAGCAAGAGGAGAAACAATAGTGTTAAACAGGATTTTAAAAGGTCACTAGAATCCAGGCACTTTTCCAAACCTTCAGATCCTGCCAAATGACCCCATCATATCTTAGGAAAAGTATTTCAAAGACGGGGAAACCCCAAAATTGGCCATGTCATTAAATCTTCCAGTTGCCATGCAGGGCCTCTGTTAGCATGCTACTTGCAGGCCAAGCAAACTAAGACAGATGAGGAGCCTCACCTAACACACGATATATGCTACATAAATATGGCCTAGCATTGGGCTTTTAGTTCTACATAAATGGATGGAATATTAACAAACAAATTAAATTTGGGAGAGGGTGGGCTCAGCAAATTAAAGCACCTGCAAGTAGGAGCAGGGGTCGGGGAATTTGGTCAGCAGGCCTGCTGTGCTGGCCCACCCCTGGGGCATTCTGAGATGACAAATGAAACTGGGCATGGTGGCATGCAGTCTGGTTAATCCCAGCTCTTGGGAGGCTGTAAACAGGTGGATCACTACAAGTCCGGTCTAGTAGTGAGACCCTAAACACCTGTAGACCCTTCCCTAAAATACAAAAAAAAAAAAGGAAAAATTTTAAAAATAAAATTGGGGAGATTGTAAGAAGAGACTTAAAAAGAGGTTGGTGGAAAGAATGCACAGAGATGTAAAATCCCTGACTTGGGAGGACTCCAGATGAAAGATGCCCAAAGCAAGGTGCTCAGAATGAACCTGTTTTTGGCTCAAATAGTCCATCCCCCGGGCTACATCTGCAGCAAACTGAAGAAGCTGTTGTGAAGACAGTGTGGAAGCCGTGCTGTTGGCGATAGCAAAGGCAGGATCGGTCTCTAGCACACGGCTCTTGCGCAAGAAGTCCAGGAGGTTTCCATGGGGGGCGTACTCAATGGCCAGGTACAAGTAGCCTGTTGGGAAGGCCAAGAGAATCAGCTTACCAGCAACGAATGGGAGACGTGTTGTGGTCCTCAGAAACGGCTTACCAACTCTGCTCTCCCTCAAAGAAACACATCTAGGGGTAGCAACCTAGTAATTCTGGGGATAGGCAAGAAGTAAGTGACACCTCTTGCAGTATTCCATGAGGGTTAGGCTTGAACTCAGTTTCTCTTTGTTCCACTTCCTTCTCTGTTCCTACCAAATGTGGATTGACACAACCTTCCTGAAATGCTTCTATCCACTAGATAATACTAGTAGAATGCACGCAAAGCATTCTTTTTCATATTTAAGCCATCTCCTTCATATTCCCTTAGAACTTTTATTTAGTGTTCACCAAAAATCTAATATGGACCAGATACATTATTCTAGTTTGTCTCTACCTTTTATTGAGATTATTTTAAAAACAACATAACCATAGTGGAAGGACCCACAACAGAAAAACATTCTCCTCTGCCTTCTTACCATGTAGACAAGTTGCCACTAGCCAGCGGAATGTAGTTGCAGAAATCATATTTCTCCTTAAAGAAACCATAAAACTCAATCTCTTAAGAAAAATGTAGGCTTGTAGAAAAATTAAGAGTATATTGTCTTGGTTTTACTCAATATTGTGTTCTCTTTTTACAATGGCTTAAAAATATTAATAGAGTCTCTGAAAATCAAAGTGCTTTTACTGCTTTTTAAAGGAAAAGGCTTTCAGTGAGTCATCATTTTAAAATTTAGGATGAATCTGAACTTCAAAAATAATTGAGGCTTTTTTTTTTCATAACTGGGGATAGAACTCAGACCCTTGCGCTTGCCAGGGAAGCGCTTATTCCACTGAGCCATCTCCCCCTCAAAAATAATTGAAACAATTGAAATGCTGGCCCCCCAAAAGTCTTCTAACATTGAATTCTATTGTACTATAATAAGAAAAACTAGCCAGCACTCTGGTCCGAGTGTGTACTCACATATTCACTGCATTCTAAATTCTAAAGGCCAATTATGTGCTAACATGATGACAGCAACATTTCTAGACACGAATTTTTCTGTTGGTGGACTTTGTTTCTTAACCTCCAAAACCTGTATTTTCTCTGTCCTGCAGTAGTTTTTTGTCTTCAGGAAACTACTCAAAAATAAATATTATTACATCATTATTTAATCTAAGGGGGACAATCAGCTTTCAGAATTACACCCTTGTTGGGTCACAGAATGATATATTGTTTAAAGCACTCATATTTTTAGTTTAATAAATTGAGGAAATGGAAGTGGTCTCTCTTCTATTGTTGGTGTTTTGCTGGAAAGTCAACAAAAGATTGTCAAATTTATAAATTATCTTAGGAGACTTTTTATAAGAGCAAATTTTTCCATGAGAAATTAAGTTTAAATATAGATTCAGAACTGTAAACCCTTTACATGCAGAGTTAAACTCATAAAACACTTTCACTGTGACATATTCATTCATGCTTATTGCACAAATTACAATAATTTGAACTCATGAGCTCAAAAGTATGTGTAACTTCACTACGAGTCCAATCTCTCTAGTGAGACCCTGTAGACCTTGTACTAAATACATATTTTTTTTAAAAAAAGTATGTGTATCATAGTATGGTTATAAAGCGCTAATGTAACTATGTGAACACATTCTGATCAAAAGCAAAGAACTGTCCTGCATAAGATTTTAGTCGTCTAAACATCACCAGTGGTCCCATATTGCACTGCCCTGTTGGCTTTCATCATACTAATGTTCAGAATGCTAATCCCTCGGCTTTTGAGGCCCAATGAACAGTGGCAAAAATATACATCGCACTCCATGCTTTCTGGTGCTAAGGGCTCCACGTGCCCTCCTAGCAGTAATATTAAAGCACACCTCTAGGCTAATGAGAGTAGGGACTGGTAGCAACTTGTGTACTTTGAGTGTTAGCACAGCTAAACCACAGCAAAGACCAAATGATCAAGATTTGACACATGCCTCCCAAAGACAGTAAACCTTACCATAATCCATAAATAGGCCTCAATAGGCATTGTGCAAATTTAAAAATTAGGTGATATTCTTATCACTCTTAGGTTTAATATGAAATTGTGCCTGCCCAAAAAAGAAGTCTGGGGCTGGAAAAACAACTCAGTGATCTAAATGCCTGCCTGGCAAGCACAAGGACCCGGTTTGATCCCCAGTACTGCATGCTGTGCCAGCCCCAGAACCCTATACACACCATTCTGGCCACCAAACCCAGGAATGGTGGTGCACACCTGTAATCCCAGCACTGGGAACGCTTAGACAGCAGGATTGCTACAAGTCCAAGCTGCCTAGAGACCCTGTACCAAATAAATAAATAAATAAATAAACAAACAAATAAATTTATTTTTAAAAAAAAGCCTGGAAAAACAAGAGTAGAGCCTGTTACCTCGATGTTCGCAGGCTCCCAAGAGATTGATGATGTTTGGATGATTTCCAAGTTTACAGAGCACCTCCAGTTCCCCTGCAAAATCCCTGTGGTCATCTTTGGAGGCGTATTCTGGGAAGGAAAGCAAGGGTTATGGCTCCTCTTCATTATGCTTTTCAGGTCCAGTGTCTCCTCATGCTTCCTGGTCCATCCCAGGTGCACTCAGTCACCTCAGGTCTGGAAAACTATTCCAACCATAGATTGCTCTAAGGCAGAGCTTCCCAGCCTCAGCACTACCGACTTTGAACAGATAATTCCTTGTTGTGTAGGGCTAACCTAGGACTGTAGGATGTTTATTTTCATTCCTGACCTCTACCTACTAGATACCAGTAGTTTAACCAAAAATATACCCAGACACTGAGAACTGTTCTCCAGGCAGCAAAATCTCATAAGGATAAGAACCTCTACTCTAAATGTTTTTAGTTTAATTCTCAAATACATAGTGTAATGATTTGGTAAAGGGAGAGCTACCCCAATATTTAGACTCTAGTTCTTTTAGCTAAACCTTCCATCTGTAAATAGCAGAGGAAAAGTTCTGGTGAAACATCTACCAATCATACATGTGCTTTATTTCATAAAGTTAGCTAACTTTCTAACAAGCCAGTCCTGCTAGGCACATTCAATCCTCATGATATTTTATAAAAGCTGGACTGCAGTCAGGACACTGAGCTGTCTTTCCTTTTCTATTCACTGACACTTGAGCAAAAGGAGAACCACCAGACACCAGGCTATTGGTTAATGCTTGGAGGACAGTGTGCTGTAGTTGTTTTTGGAAAACTAATATTTGGGGAAGAACAAAGGGTGAGAGGAGAGTGCTGGTAGGTATGTGTGTGCCAGAACATGATGGGGGCTGTGGTGACATCTCAGGGGGCTAATGGTACTATAAGACTGACTGACAGGAAATCCAAGTAAAATGTCCTGGTCAGATCTGTGACTTAGGAGCATTTTTTAAAATTGTGTTTACTTAGAAGCATTCAGAATGTAAAAAAAAAAAAAAAACAGTTGCAACTTTCTTTGCAATTACAGAGTGGTACTCAGTTAACAGAAAAAGTATTTCATATAAGCTGCATCAGAGACAACTGAAGATGAAAAACTACCATCCCCATATATAACTAATTTGTGCTGTGCACCAAGAACCTGCTTTAAATTTCCATGCCAATTTACAACCCCACACTGTACAAGGCAAGGTTAGTGGCTATTGAAAATACCACCAGGGCAGGGCTATCTAAAGACACATTCAGTGGTGTGTTAACTACACACATTAAAAAAAGACACTGTACAGTTTAAAAACAAATCTTACATAGCCTTACATTTCAATTTTTTTTTCTTCAAAAGGAGTTGTGTACAGGTGGGTTAAATGCTTTTTCTGGTGCCAGTTTAAATATTTTTATTGAAGACATTGCGTTTCCATTTATAGTACAGTGCTTAAAGTATAATACTATGTTTCCCTGTATACATGTTCCATTATTCAAGTATTGAGAATGCCCAGTACTTTACTTCAGCAGCTCAACTTTAATAACTGCCACAGAATTTGCTACAAATTTAGGTCCTTCAATTTTATTGGTTGTGGAAGAATGCTATATTTATATTTTGGGTTGGCTTAATCAGCCTCTTCAATGGTGGGCCCCCAGGCGACACCACCAGGGGAAGGAGCGCCTCCTCCAGGGAAGCCCCAGGCATCCCTCCAGGCAGCCACCTGCACTCTGGTACAGCTTGGTGATGATGGGACTGCAGACTTTCTCCAGTGCCTTCTACTGATGTTCATGTTCTTCTTTCTTCACAGCCTGATTCTTATCCAGCCAGTTGATGATTTCATTACACTTGTGAAGAATCTTCTGTTTATCTTCATCATTAATCTTGCCCTGAAGTTTCTCATCTTCAACAGTTGCTTTCATATTGAAAGCATAGGACTCCAATGAGTTCTTAGAGGACACTAGTCACTTTGCTTCTCATCTTCAGCTTTGTACTTCTCTGCTTCCTGGACCTTATGCTCTATGTCCTCCTTGCTCAAATGACCCTTATCATTAGTGATCATAATCTTGTTCTCTTTTCCTGTACTTTTGTCAACTGCAGAAACACTGAGGATGCCACTGGCGTCAATATCAAAAGTTACTTCAATCTGAGGAACACCATGGAGTTCAGGAGGTATGCCTGTGACTTCAAACTTGCCCAGGCTGCTATCCTTGGTCATGGCACAGTCACATACCTGAATGAGGATGCCAGGCTGGTTGTCAGAGTAGGCAGTGAAGGTCTGGGTCTGCTTGGTAGGAATGGTGGTATTGCCCTTGATGAGGACTGTCATGATGCCACCAGCAGTTTCATTACCAAGAGAAAGAAGAGTTACATTCAACAGTGGCAAATCTTGGACATTTTCAGGCTTGTCTCCAGATAGAATGGCTGCCTGAACAGCGGCACCATAAGCAACAGCCTCATCAGGGTTGATGCTCTTATTCAATCCTTTTCCATTGAAGAAGTCCTGAAGAAGCTTCTGAATCTTGGGGATATGGGTAGAACCATCCACCAGGACAATGTCATGGACCTGAGACTATTCAGTTTAGGATCTCAAAGAGCCTTCTCCACTGGGTCCAGAGTGCCACAGGACAGGTTAGCATTCAGTTCTTCAAGTAGAGCATGAGTAATGGAGGTGTAGAAGTCAATTCCTTCATAGAAGGAATCAGTCTCAATACTGGCTTGGGTGCTAGAAGAGAGGGTTCTCCTAGTTTGCTCACATGCAGTATGAAGATGGCGGACAACTCTTTTGTTCTCACTGATGTCCTTCTTGTACTTGTGCTTGAATTCAGCAATAAAAAGATTGACCATTTGGTTGTCAAAATCTTCCCCACCTAAGTGGGGTCTCCAGCTATAGATCTCACTTCAAAGATTCCATCTTCAATAGTGAGGATTGACACATCAAAAGTGCCCCCTTCTAAATAAAAAAATCAGCACATTTCTTTCAGCTCCAACCTTTTGGTCTAAGTTATAAGCAATAACAGCAGCTATTGGTTCATTGATAATTCTAAGTACATTAAGACCAGCAATGATTCCAGTATCTTTGGTTGCCTGACGCTGAGAGTCATTAAAGTAAGCTGGCACAGGGACCACAGCATTGGTAACAGTCTTCCCTAGATAAGCCTCTGCTATCTCCTTCATTTTGTCAGCACCATAGAAGACAACTCCTCTGGGTAGAAGCTCTTTGTCTCTCCTTTGTTTTCTACTTGAACCTTGGGCCTGCCTGCATCATTCACCACCATGAAGGGCCAGTGCTTCATATAAGACTGGACAATAACATGATCAAATCTACACCTGATCAGATGCTTGAATCAAAAACTGCGTTGGTGGGGTTCATAGCCACTTGATTTTTTTGCAGCATCTCCAATCAGTCGATCGGTGTCAGTGAAAGCGACACAGCTAGGAGTGGTTCGATTTCCCTGATCACTGGCAATTATGTCCATTTCTCTGTGCTGGAAGACACCCGCACAGGAGTAGGTGGTGCCGATATCAATGCCAACAGCAGATCCCTTCCACATGGTTGCTTGCACATAGGCCTGGCTGTGCTAGCAAAGATGGCACACAAAAAGCCCCTCACCTACTGGCACGTTCGATGAAACCCCTAAGTGTTTTATAGACAAGAAAAAAAACTGCACTATAACCAACTCATTCATCATCATCATCTTCATCATTATCCTCATCCTCTTCATCTTCTTCTTCCTTCTTTTTCTTGATTTTTTTCAACCTTGACAACTTCCTTTTTTGTTGCATCAGGTTTTCCTTTATCCCGGTAGGCAGCAATGTCCTTTTCATACTTTTCCTTCAGCTTAACAGCCTTCTTCTCATATGGCTGCTTGTCATCTGCTACAGTATTATTCCACATTTCTCCAAGTTTGTGACAATACCAATGGAGAGACCAGGATGTTCTCCCTTGATTTTTGGGCAATACTCAGAACAGAACAAGAAGAAGGCTGAAGGAGGCCTCTTGGGCACATTGGGATCCTTGAACTTCTTTTTTGTTTCTCCTTTAGGAGGAATATAAGTTTTCATTTCTCTTTCACAATGAACCTTGTCCACTTTTGTCATGTCTTCAAATTTTCCTTTTTCTTTAGCAGACATGGTCTTCCACCTCTCTGAGCACTTCTTAGAAAACTCTGAGAAATTAACAGAGGCATCTGGGTGCTTCTTCTTGTGCTCCTCTTGGCAAGTTTGCACAAAGAATGCACATGATGACATCTTGCCTCTTGGCTTCTTAGGATCTTCTTTGCCCATGTTTAACTTGTTTTCCTCAGCGAGGTACAGAGTCGCCCAGTGCCTGTCCGGCTCTCACTTGCCTCAGCACTGTCTTTGTGGAGCTCAATGTACTGCAATGTCTGTGGGAGCAGGAGCCAGCTGCAGCCTCCTCACTCTCTCTGCTCTGTAACTGAGCATTTTTAAATAAGGTGTCTTATAATGAAGTTGTGCCCTTACTTAAGTAACTGGGTATAGCATTCTGCCAGTAAACATCTTCTGCCTTTGTGCCTGGTTAAGCTATTTTACCTCATTACATGAAGAGGTAGAAAATCAGAGTCCTGTCAGATCACAGTAAAAACTGACTTTGTCAGATTCTGCACCCTGACTCCTCTATTTTCAGTGCTCTGCTAAACTCCATGATAAATGGAGCAGAACAGAAAAGGGATTTGTAGCTTCTAAGCAAGGCTTTTGTCTGCATTTGTTAAGAAAACACATACCTAACTCTAAGCATGCATAATGTTATATTTTGTTTCCTGATGTGATCTTTCTAACAATGCAGAACAGAAAGGTGATTTATGACGATTTAGATTAATTCTCATTTTAGGCTCAATACTGACGGAAAATCCCTCAGTAACCTCAGAGAGCCCGTGAGATGGAACCACATTCTCTATTTAAACACACTGCTTTTCCAGCATATTTGCTATGAAATCAGCAGCCAGCCTCACAGTTGAGTCACGCATGAACTGCCCCTTCACAGAGAGAGAAAGACTATTGCACTACAGATACCCTCAGCTTGCTCCTTTCTCAGGTGTTTAGGATGCAGTCTCATTCAACAGGTAAGTACTGAGCAGTCCTGAGGTGAACACACCTGAAAAGCCTGGCGGTTTTCAAACTTGAGCAAACAGAATTTTAGAGAAGACCTATTTAGAGCAGAATCTCATGTGCCACTGAGATCCCAGTCAGTAGAGCTGAGGATGGGAGAGGACCAAGGGGATGCATTTCTGACAGTGTCTCTGTCAGAAATGCATTATCTGCACCCTCCATTCTGGCGCAGATAATCCATGAAGAATGTGGTTCCAAATGCATGGGGTCAGCATCGCTTGGGAATTAATAAGTGACAAGAATTCTCTGACCCCATCTCAGATTTCTTCTTCCTCCAGTGACTATGAGGTAGGGCCCAGTAATCCATTTCTAAACAAGCCTTCCAGGTGATTCTGACATGCACTGAACTTTGGAAACCACAAAGAGTTAGATACTCCCTAACGTTAGCAGGATATGTCAAAGAATCAATATTTTGAAATCCCCAGAAATGGGGAAATTGGTGCTTCTATGGTCCCTGATGCAATCTCAGACTCGATTGCAGAGGAAGTATCAGCTTTAGCTCCTCACAGCAGCTTTGTCTGACACCAGGCCAACTTTTGGGTTAAAGGATGTCAGGCCACAGGAGAGCGCTTCCACAGGAAGCCAAGTTTCTCCCACCCCAGTGAGCTGCCGACTCTCTTCTACCCACTGACCTTTCATTCTCTTGATGGCGGCATCCATCCGTAGCCCATCCTTCTTGATGCGGGCCTTAAGAACTTGGCCAAAGTTGCCCTCTCCAATCACATCTTGAAATTTGATGTCATTCCAGTCAAGCACCGGGTAAATTGTGGGATCCGGGTTGTTCTTGGCCTTCCTGTTTAAGGCCAGAGTCCCTGAGTTGAACTGCACAGCTGGTTCTTCCCTCTGGGAAAATAAATTGTTTTAAAAATCATTTTTGTGTCAGGATTTGTTGTCATTCTAAGATGACAATATGTTCTTGTTTGTATTCACACCAGCTCCCCCTCACCAAAAAAAAAAAAAAAAAAAAAAAAAAAAAAAAAAAAAAGAAACAGGATATATTAGGATATCTAATTCTAGAATGGAAATGGAAATAGGTTTCGCCTCACACAGCCACACTGCTGATGAGCCTGCAGCCCACAGAACCATGCAGGCATAAAGCGGGGCCTGGGTCAGAAATTATGTCAACTGTCAATGCTGCAAAACCAAGAAAGGTGAGAATGATGATGTGTGTACTTCATGCTTGTCATTTCCACCTTAGTCGCACTTGATTTTTCACTATGCTTGGCAGTGAGCTGGTACTCAGGTCTGGTTTGGAAAATAACGCAGAGTTCGTACCAGAAGCAGTCCCTGGGTGTGTCTTAGTGCGAGCCTTCCTAGCCTCAGCTTGCTCCTGCCAGTTCGGGTTCTCTCACTGGCTCTCCCACTCTCTTCTCCAGAAGTTTAGAGCCTCTTAAGCCCTTTCCGGTTCTGGGATGACTGACGTAGCAAAGCCCAGAAACATGTCTCTTGTTCTCCTGAAGTCAAATGCCTCATGACAGCCTCCTGACAAAGCTCCAGAGCTCCCAAGCCCCTTGTTGGCCCTGCCTCTCCAAGGCAGCCTGCTCTGGCTTGGAATTAGGCAGTAAAGCCCTCCTATCCTGCTTGGGAGGGCACCCTGGAGATTCAGACACATGAAGGTGCACCTCATTTGAGGCATCTTGTTGCTCTCAATGCTTTATATACAACATTCATAAAAATCAGGTACAAAGTAATTTTTAAAATCTGGAAACCAGAGAACTCAAAAGGGGTGGCCCTTACATAAAGTGTGTTCTTCGCTAATGGTCAAAATTCACAGGCAAAAGAATGAGGCAGTGCCACTGGCTCTAACTATAGGTTGAAGGATTCGCAGGGATGGAAGAGACACATAGGAATGTATCATTTTCATATATCTGTGAGGAGTGACAGGGCTGAGGGGCACATGAGAAATAAGAAATGAGGACTAAAAATAAAAAGTCATTATTTATCAGATTGAGGCTTGGTTACCCTCCTGTCCTTCCTTGCCAAAAATGCTCAGTTTATCCTATAGCAAGATTGTTTCCTCACCTGGCTTTTCACTAAGGCAACCATTTACTTCATTTTAGGGAGGAGGAGAGGGTGGTCCTATTGTAGGCCTAATTTCCTGCATAATTATTGAGATCACTCTCAAAATCATTCTTGTTTGGATAAGAAATTACATAGTCATTCTGTTTATCTCCCATTTGATAGTAGAAGCCAAAGAGAAAATGAGGTTTGCTTATAGGAATTATTTGCTTTCTTTGCAAGTAAATTTCCTAGTCTATGCCTTAAAGTGAAGGTTCTGCCTGTGTGTGCACCTACACCTAGCAGTAGTAAGAAGAGGAGGCACTACCACATTTTGGAAGGCTTGGGCCATTCTCCGTTGGATGCTTGCCCTCTTCAGTTGCAGCATGATCAGAAAGGCCAACAGCACCGTCAAACAGGTCATCCCAGCAGAGCCAAGGATAGCTATCAGCAGCATCTTCCCACTTCCAAGGCTTGCTGAGACTGTACGGGAGAACAGAGGGCAAGTAGGTGGGTCAGCTGAGGTGGACAGATGAGCCAGGGCCTTCTGTGAGAGAAGACGCAACGTATCGGGAATGTAACAGCAGCCCCAGCCCTAAGACCTAAGTCCTGGGACCTGGGGCTGCTCATTAATTTCTGAAACTCTGTGACGAGGAGTGTGAATTGCAGGGGTTTTTTAAAAATATGCAGATAAGCTTTTAAATGTGCTATTCATTTGGTATAATTTATTCAACTGTTAGTTGCAAGCAGGCTCCTGAGTAGATGAATATTATTAAATAATGCTGAAAAATAACATCTTTCAGAGAGTGACTAAACTGCTTTATATCTCAGTGCCCCCAGTTACTTAAATATTCTATTATCCTAAGATTTTAGAATCTGTAAGATATTTTTTCCTCTGGTTTTCTTTGAAGAGCTTATGTAGAAAACTTGATAAAAAAAAAGGAAAAAGACCCACTAAAGTTAGGGATTATATAAAAATAAACTATGAAAGTCTATGGCGCAATCCTTCCATTTCTTTCCCTTAAATTCAAATTAGGTTAAAATGAACATATTTTTATTAGTAACAGCATATAGACAACAATCTTATTTCTTAAAAATATTCTGTACTTATTTTTCCTTCTCTCTCTGTGTAGTATGCATACACAAATGTCTAGAATGATGAGATCTTTGTTTTACTGTATTTTCTTTTTAAAGCTTTCCTCTTTGCATTTTATGTATTGCTTACATTTAGTACAAGTATATATTTTACCCAAAAAAAGTTATTATAAAGCTGAGGGACTTAATGAGTATGATCTGAAAATTATTATGCTCTGTACATAATTGGCTGACAAATAATTCCTCAAATATTTCAAAAAATGTCTCTAAATCTTCAAGGAAAACATGGTTTCTTTTATTCTATTTCTTAAACTTTAGGTTACCTATAAGAAACAAAGATGCTCTGAGCACCGTAAGGTCTACTAGAAAAGTAGACTCAAGTCCAAATCATGAACTTACAAAACTCATCTTTTCACTAATCCTACTAATATTTCCTTGCATGCAACACACACTACAGAGTGACGGGACACCATGTCACTAGCCTTGAAGGTGACCTTGAGTCCCCAGCCTGCCGCTGCTGTGGCCCAGTTCCCTGAGTCACATTCAACAGGTCCATCAGCCCCAAGCTCCAGGCACGGTGTGCTTGGCTGTCTAGGAGATCTCTCTGTAGCTGAGAGAGCTTGCCCTCCCTGAAGCGTGGTCTGCGGTAGACATAGGGCCCTGATAACCTGGACCAGAAAAGTGGAATAGAACACAAAAAGTGTAGTTTCATCCAAGTCAAAAGAAGAATTCATCTTGAAAAAGGATAGAGTGTATTTCTTGCAGCCACCCACCAAAGTTTCCATATCAGCTTGCTTCCTCCATAAGCAGGCTTCTATTCTTCTTTCTTTATGGAATTAAAATTCTTACACCACAACATTTTCTTAGATTACTGGATGGAGCTTGCCTTTAGGATAATTTATTCTAAGGTTTAATAATAGAAAATGTATCAGCAAGTATCCTACGCAAGGGTACTTTGATTTGAGGAACATATATAGAGATGGTAAAGCCTTTAAGGACCAATGCATTATGTCACATGACACACATACAGAGTAAATTGCAATAGTGGAGGTTTTCTGATACTGTGCGGAAATAACACTGTGGAAATACTCTAGTGGAAATACTCAGTGTCCACTCTACCAACCTTGAGACTCTGGGAGGGTCATCAGTTCATGAGATAAGGTTGGGTGGCTTGACCCTATATTGTTCTCAGCAAAAATGTCCACGTGATAAGCCGTTTCAGGCTCGAGCCCCTTCAGCTGATACTGAGTGATGGTAGCATTCTTGATCTTCACATCAATGTGCTGGTCTTCATGTTCATCTTGAACCTTATAACGGATGATAACGGAAGAAATGGAATAGCCATCCACTATGGTCCAAGAAATCACAGCCGAGGAGTCTGTGATGTTGGAGATCTTGATGTTTTCTGGTTGAGGAGGAAGAACTACAAATTTAAAAAAAGAATTTACTTAAGATGTATTACTGACTCTTCAATCATTATGCTGTTAAGAAAGGGTTCACGTCATATCATGGCTACGGTTTATATATAGATGTCCCCAGAGGTCTCTAGCATTCATAGATGGAGCTTTGGGAGTGAATAATCATGACAGCATGACAATGGCTTAGACTAGCATGACACTGGCTTAGACTACTGATGGGATATAGCTGGGTAGGATGCTGAGAGGTAAAACCTGGGGAGAAGTGCGTCGCTCTGGGCAGGACCTGGAGTGGCATTTATCCCTCCTCTCCTGATGGCTGCTGCTTCCTGTCTGCCTTACCTTGAGCTCTTTCTCCTCTGCCACACCATCTGCCTTGGAGCCAGCTGACTATAGCCTAAAACCTCTGCAAATGTGACCTACAATGAACTTTTCCTCTTTTAACATGTGGGTGTCAGATATTCCATTCCAGCAACAAGAAAGTAACTGAGATTATCATAAACCATGACTGGAAAAGAGATATTTTCTCAGATGGTAATTCTAATCCACTAGCAGGGACTACTGGACTTCTGAGACTTCATAAAAGGGTACAGACAGGGAAATGACAACATATACATTGCCAAGTGGCCTCTTTATGCTAAATGAAGGCCCCAGAATTCTGTTACTCCACAAATTTGTGTACACTGTCCTTGACTTCTGGAAGGAATGGAAGCTTACAAAAGCTGACACTTATGTAATGCTTATGATATGCTAGACATCATTCTGGGCTCTACCATATATTAACTCACTTCTTCATCATTACAGTTTCACTGCAAGTACTGAGGCATAGTAGAACTAATTAGTGGAATTAACTGACTCAGCCAAAGTCATATTGTTATTAAACAGATGAAAAAGGACTGAACTTGGCAGTCTGGCCCTCCAGCCATGGACTAGCCACTGTGCTGCGGTCTGCTCTTGCCCTAGATGCACATACAGAACAACACTCAAGTCCATGTATACTCATAGGAAAATATGTCAAGAATTTAGTAGACAAAATGCTACTAGGATTGGGGAAAACATGAGATTCCATCATTCATGGGCACAGGCAGGATGAGAGAAGGCGGTCTTCTGAGGTTCCTAGGTGTGAAGATGACCTGCCCAGAATCATACCCACAGCCTTCTTGGAGCACCTTTCCTAAAGCAAAAGGCTGGAAGGGAAGTCAGGTTGTCTACCACGTTACCTACACATGCAGACTCTCTGGGAGCTAAGGATGTGGCTCAGGGTAGACATTTGTGTGGCCCCACAAGGCCCTGAGTTGAATGCCCAGTACTTACAAGAAAATCTTTTAGTAACACATGCAGACTCTCATAAGACACAGGAAGGTAGATAATCTGAGCAGGGAGGGAGGGAGGGAAGGAGAGGAGAAAGGAAGGAAGGAAGGAAGGAAGGAAGGAAGGAAGGAAGGAAGGAAGGAAGGAGAGAAAAGGATAAAAGAAAACTGAAATGTGAGTTAGACTCTGCACCTCCAAGAATTAAGAGCTGTGTAACTCTGACCAAGTCACCTGTCCTTCCTCGTGCCTCAGTTCCTCATCTGTTAAATATAGGGCACACAAATACTTCTGACACAGGGCACACTGGGTAGTCACTTCAGAGGAGCATTGCGTTCACAAGTGTCACTTCTTCATAAGTTCCCCAGAAAAGCTCTCATACCAACGCACATGGGGACATGTTTAGAGACAGTCACTGCAGTTTGTGATTGTAATTTTATTATTTATTTATTTATTTATTTATTTATTTATTTTGGCGGAACCAGGGGTTGAACTCAGGCCCTTGTGCTTGCCAGGGAAGCACTTATTCCACTGAGCCATCTCCCCAGCCCCTTGTGATTGTAAAGAAGTGAAAGTGACCTAAACATACCTAAGTACATACATACATAGGGAACTGGGCCACAATGGCAGTAGGCTGGAGACAAGTTCAACTTTAAGGCTAGATGAAATACATACAGTGAAAGTGACCTAAACATACATCTGAAAAAGAAACATACATCTGAAGAAGAAATACATACAGCCAGGTGTGGTGGCGCATACCTGTAATCCCAGCACATAAGAAGCTGAGAGAGAAAGATATAAATTTGGGCTACACAGTGTCTAAGACCAGCCTAGACTACACAGTAGGACCCTGGCTCTAAAGTGAAAGGGGTAAAAGATAAATGAATTATTCATAAGATAGAAATGAAACAGATATCTAAAAGGCACACATCAGATCTAAATAAATAGAAATCATGCTTATTCAGCAAGGGAGGAAGAATGGTTTATATGTATAGTTTTTATGTGCAGCTATGCATCTATATATATTTAACTATATAATAATGACTGGAAAGAATGCATAATAAACATACTTTGGGTTGCCTCTAGGAAAAAGAAAATGGAAAAGAGATGACAGTCAAAGGGAATTTTAATATAACTGTGAAGTGCTATTTCTTCTATATAGCAACAAAAAATGATGAAAGAAACTGTAACATAATTAATAGCTGTTAATTCTAAGTGGTATATGTGTTAAAATGTGTTATTAGTCTGCACTACTTTTGAACTTCTAAATTTCATAGTATGTGTACATATATGCACATATATTATACATATTATATAGAAAACTATATAGATGGATGGAGTTGAACTCAGGACCTTGTACTTACCAGGCAGGTAGTGTGCCACTGACCTATATCTCATATATATATCTTTTCTTGCACAATCCTAAACACTGCCAAAATAATTCAGAGTTTCATTAGTCACTGATACACAGAGTTGGCCAGAGAAACACTGAGCCACCTTCTACACCTATCACTGAGGAAGCAGAAACCAGGTGGAGAGTCTCAGAGTCTGAAGATTGGCAAAGGACCACGTGACTCTAAGTGGCAGCTGGTGTGACCAAGAGGTTCTCCATCTTTCTGAGAGCTGCAAGATGCTTGGACACTGTTATAATTCAGTGAAGCAAAATAAAACTATTTAATGATGAAAAATCAGTATTCAAAGGAAGTCAAGAAGTTGCAACCAATTTTAAGTGAACAATCTGAAATACAGAAAAACTTGAAATATAGAATATTTTTAAAAAAATATTGTTTTATTATCTCAGATATATAGTTTTCTAAGAATTGCCTTTTAAGATTGGAAAACATTCATGTATCTTGGTCATCAATGTACATACAGACAGAAAATTATCCTTAAAACTGTCCTATAGCTGACTAAACAAGCCTAAGAAAACACTCATTAGTGAGTGTTAATAAACTACTTAATAAACAACAACTTCATACTAAAGAAAGGTAGGTTTGAGCACAGTCCTGCTGCAATCAATCTTTGCAAATCCAAATGAGGTTTTCTTATATATTACAGGCTTCTAAAATGATTGGATGGGAGGCCGGGGAGATAGTTCAGTAGAATAAGCACTTGCCTGGCAAGCACAAGGGCCTGAGTTCAATCTCCCGTTCTGCCAAAAAATAAAAAATAAAATAAATAAAATGATTGGATGGATATGAATTAGCTTTCTCTCACAACTAATTTTTATGATTTCTAAGATCCGGTTTTGAAGTGACAGAAGTTAAGTCCAAGGGCAATAGTCAGATGTCATTCTTTTTTCTTTTTTTTTTTTTTTTTTTTTTTTTTTTTTTTTTTACTAGGAATCAAACTCAGGACATTGGCTTGCCAGGCAGGCATTTGTACCACTGAGCTGTCTCCCTAGCCCTTTAAGTATCATTCAGGTGGGACCAGAGCAGCACAAGTTTCTTACCATCACTAAGAGTCCAAGCAGTGAGGTCTTCGCTCCATTCTCCATGGGCCTTGGTGTTGACTCTAGCGCGGACAATGTACTGCTCCCTGGGGTGTAAGTTGTTAAGTAGCACTGAAGTCAGGTTCCCTGGCACTTTAATACTCTGCTGGTCACTCTTTATTAGTGCAGACCTCCTCTCCACTTCCACATAAAATTCATCTTCTGAGGTTGGAAATATTGGTTGCCAGGTCAAATTTAATGTGGTCTGACTTTTTGGTAGGAGACTGAGCCCTCTGGGAGGAGGGAGTCCTAACAGAAACCAGAAATATCATTATTTTTACATAGTGTATATGTAAGCTCAGATCCAAAGCACATCTTAAAAGAGTAACTTTAGTTTCTAGAATAACACACAACTTCATAAGCTACCAAAGCAGCACAAAGAGTAGCTTCATAATTTTTCTTACCAAAATACCAAATCTTTACAATGGTTCTAACATGGAGTTTGAGTAATTTTAATACAGTTAAAGTTTTTTCCCATTAGAGGACAAATTGGAAATATATATATGTTCTGTTTTTGTGGAACCAGGGATTAAACTCAGGCCTTTGAGCTTGCCAGGCAAGTGCTTATTTTACTGAGCCATCTCTCCGGCCCCTGGAAGTATATTTTTTTCAAGAGCCCTAAAAGTGACCACATACTTTTGGTCTTAACATCTGACAACCAGGGATTTATCTGAAAGAAATATTCTAAAGGAATGGGAAAAATCTACATGCATCAAGATTCATTAAAGCATTGCCATAGCAAACAATAGGAAGAACTCTGAATATTAAAAGTAAGTAATTACTTAATGTATCATGACACAGCCTCCCTTTTGGTTAAAATAGATAATTAAACAGAGAATGGAAGTCCAACCAAAATTTTCATAGTACATGAGTAAAAGTTTTGATTGATTCTTGGTAAAGTCGTGCCTACAATTAGCAAAAAAAAAAAAAAAAGGAGTCCAACAGGTGAAAATTAAGATAATAAATTTTCTGAGGCCGTAAGACAGTACATGAGTATTAGGTATTTCTGTTACCAGTTGGAAAAATACATTTCAAAGGAGTCACTTCCCCTTAACGAGAATTTCAGACATCAGAGCAGCTATGGAGACAAGGCAAGCCACAGGCCTATGCTGGTCATATCCAGATATCAGCAGTAACCACATGCTGCAAGCCCTGAGTCACCTTACTCTAATCTGATAAAAACCATTTATGACAAACCAATAGCTAACATGCTAAATGGGGAGAAGCTCAAAGCCTTTTTCTAAAATCAATCAGGGGCCAAGGAGATAGTTCAGTAGGATAAGTGCTTGCCTGGCAAGTGCAGGGTCCTGAGTTCAATTCCCAGTTCTGCCAATAAATAAATAAAGAAAGAAAAGAAAAGAAAAGAAAAGAAAAGAAAAGAAGAGAAAAGAAAAGAAAATCAATCATAAGACTATGCATTCTGCTGTCACCACTCTTGTACAATATAATTCCTGAAACATTAGCCAGAGTAATCAGGTAAGGGAAAGTAATAAAAGAGACACGTATAAGAAAGGAAGAAATCAATTTGCCATTATTTGCAGATCGCACGTGTCTGAGTTCCTTTTCTCATTGCTTAGACAAAATACCTAACACCCATAAGTTAATGGAGGAAAGTTTTATTTTAGTTGTGGGCTACTCACCTGGCTCCAAGGTGGTGGAAGAGAGGCCTCATAGTGAAGAAACAGTCCATGGCAGGATAGGCAAAAAGCAAGTCAGCCTTTTCCTTTTATCCCATCCAAGCTACAAGCCTTTTGGGTGCTATGACTCACATCCAGGGTAGGCCTTCCCACAATCCACACCCAGAATTTATGCTAAACAATTACTGGGCTGATTTAGTATTACACAACCTTAGTGCCAGACTCACACACCCTAGATTCAGAGAGCTCTGAAAAGTTTCACCCATGAGCACTTGAAATTTTGGATAACAACTAGATACAACCTTTAACAACATGACACTGTACATTAAAAAAAAGAAAAAACTCCACTAAAAGAGTCACAGTTTTAAACAAATTCAGTAGCATAGCAGGATACAAAATCAGCACACAAAAATCGATACAACAATGAACTAAGAAAGAAATTAGGAAAATAACACCATTCACACTAGTTTCAAAAACTTTGAATATTTAGGAATGAACCTAACTGAGGTAATGAAAGAACTCTGCAATGGAAACTACAGTAGTCCAGAAAAAGGAGACTAGAGAGGACAACAGAAAATAGAGATATCACATATTTGTGGATAGACAGAATGAATATTATCAAAATGACAATACTGCCAGAACTGACACCTAAATTTATTGTAAACCCAACAAAATAATACAGTTTCACAAAAGTAGAGAAAACAATCCACAAAGACACATGATTCCAGAGGGAATTAGAATAGCAAAAACAAAAACAAAAAAGGAAGAATCATAATCCCAAACTTCAAATTACATAATAAAACTACAACAGTTTTTATTTTTAAGCATGATATAGGAAAAAAAGCAGACATAGTGTCAGCAGAACCAAATAGTAGATGCAAAACAACTCCAGATATATGTATCTTTCTGATCTTTGACAAAGGAATCAAAAAAAAAAATTCTGGAAAAAAGACAGCCTCTTTATCAAGTGGTGCTGGGAAAATTTGTTATCTCTTTTTTTCTCTCTCTCTCTCTTTCTTTCTTTTTTTTTTCAGTATCGGGGATTGAACTCAGGACCCTGCTCTTGCCAGACAGGCACTTATTCTACTGAGCTATCTCCCCAGACTCTAAAATTTGTTATCTATATGCAAATTTAATCTTGACTCATACTGCTTGCCATGTACTAAACTAAAATCAAAATAGATCAAAGATGTAAATGTCAAAACAATCTTCTGGAAGATAAAACAGTAAAAGTCTTGATGACATACATAGTAAAAATCTTGAAAGCTTTCCAAACAGAATCCCAATTGCAGAAGAAACAGTACTAAAACAACAAAAGGGATTGTATAAAATTTAAAAATTTTTGCATAGCAAAGCAAAGAATAAGCACAGTAAAGATACAACCTATACAATGGAAAGAAATTTTCCAGGTATTCCTTACACAGAGGACAAATATCAATATAAAAATGAAAAATATTAGATCTCCCCCAAATGAAAAAAAACCCTATTAAAAATAGACAAATGTAACCTAACTAAAGAAGTCAAAGATCTTTTCAAGGAAAATTACAGTACTCTTAAAAAAGAAATCCTAGAGGATTTCAGAAAATGGAAAGATATCCCATACTCCTGGATACGAAGAACCAACATTGTGAAGATGGCCATACTCCCAAAATTGCTGTATAGATTTAATGCAATCCCTATCAGACTACCACCGACATATCTC